AAAATGAACGTTAATCACTCTTTTCAATATAATCATATTCGTTGAACAACAAAATTAATAACCAATGTTCATCGTGAAGAATATATCATGTATATAAGATGTGTGATAGCAAACGTGTTAAACTTAGATCTTTTAAAAGGATCTAAATTGATTAATCTTGCTTTCTGAAAATCAAACGATTTATCTTAATATTGAACAATTTCGTACATCACTGTTCGTCAAATTGGAGTAATTTGATTCGTGTACAAAATAGCAAAGTGATCGATTAAGAGTGGTAATTGTCTGCGACGTGTTAACGTGCATGATCGAGGTAAAAGAACACATACCTCGTTCAAGTACCGTAAGAGCGACCTTGCCTCGAAATGGTGAAACGGTCCTGGTGCACCACAATAAATACCTCGATTCTTTTGCACTTGGTGCCTACGAGGGAAAGAAGAGAAAGAGAGAAATCGAGAACGAGGACACCATTTTCGACCAAGGAACGGAAGAAGGTTTCTTAAAAAAACCTACCTTCTTCATTACGCGCCACATCACGATTCAAATAAATCAATTAGATCGTAAACGAATTCCTATTAATAATTATGACACGTTTCGTTAATGGTTTATACGATCTAAATGTTAAATCGTCTCCGATTTAACCGGTCACAGTCATGATGTTTCGCAATATCATCGAAATCTTTCATAATAGTACGTAACCACTCACGTATTCTCGCGATCAGAGCAGGAAATTGCGATGACGACTCGATTTAACAAAGAAATTATCTCATCCGTGCTTCCAATTTACCAAGAAATCCAATTTAGAAATCGACAAACGCCGATTAAATTACCATAAATTTGCTTGAAGAAGAAACAAACAAGAATCAAAGAGAAAAGAAGAAGAAGAAACTTCATCGAGAATCTTCATCAAGAGTCAAAGTAATCAATTCGTCTCGCCCTTGTATTACCTATCCTCTTGGATGGGAGCTCCATTTTTGCATCCTATCCTATACGAGGTAGCCGGAATATAAAATTACGAGGCGGGTAATCCGAACCTGTACACGTAAACCGAGCAGATAATTCGAGTTAAGTGGGATAAGTCTCGTTGCTCGGATTTTGTGCCCTGACTCGGTCGCCGATCAGGGGGTAGATGTTAAAAAAATATCGAGAGACGTGTTCGTGCGTTCGTGCCCACGCGCGTTACTGGCCTCGCTCTCTCGCTCTCTCCTCTCCGACCTCTCCACGTTCCTCTTCTTCCACACCATGCGGCCAGACTCCTACGGAATGGTACGTGTCGTAACCAACTATAAACATCGGCACCTGCGGGCCTGTCACCTTTCCTTCTAGCCGTGCCGCCGATATTGCTTTTCTGCGGACTCTGTGAAACTCGTACAGATCGGTCCACGAAACGAAAACGCTAAGGAATCGCGCGCACCGAGAATTTTCTTAGGCTTCCCGCGGCGACGAGTTCCATACAAGAAAAAATGCCTACCTGTGGTGAAAAGAGAGAGAAAGAGAGAAAGAGAGAGAAAAGGAGAGAGACTTGTGTGAGAACGACGATGGGATCCGATCGTGGGATCGTGCAATATTCATATACACGGTTTATCGGTTTCGTTAATTAAAACGAGAGATGAGGGAAACGAGGCCGAGACGCATGGCCGCAACGATGGTCGCGAGGGTCTGTTTCGATTTCGTAGAACCGGCGCAAGAAGAATGTAGTCTTGTCATCGGCTTACTGATGTACGGTACTTTCGAGTTCTCGACTTTTTTCCGCGCTCTTCCCTTGCGAGCGTACACGCACGTGTCCATCCGATGAACGTTAATTATGCGAGCGTACATACAGCTCGACAGCTTTCCTTTTATTCCTTTTACCTCTCACTTATAAATCGAATACCCTGCATCCTATATGTATATGTATATATACATATATTCGTTGCGATGCAATTTAGAAATCACAATCGCGCGACAGCCGTCCCTACGTTACTGTGCGACGTCGTGCCATTCCAACGCCAGCGGCGTTTCCCACATGCAAAACACGTTAAATCTCTGGCGGAAGATAAAAACCGCGAATAGAACGTGTCTCGCTCCGCGTTGTCCAAAACGCCACGCGGAGATATACGGCGCTCGTTCCGTACAGAGAATATAAATTTTACCCGATTTTTAGCCAAATGCTGCCTCTAAATAGTCGGGCGATGCGATCGTAAGATATCCACGGGAAGTGTCTCGTAACGCTGATGTATCTGTATTGTGGTTAAACGCGCCATTTATAAGCGCTCGCATCCGTTTAAGCGGCGAACGAGCGAGCGTTGTCACATACACTCGTGTGTATGCAGGCGTCGCAATGCATTTCACTTACTTCGCTCGGTTAGAATGTCGACCTTTCGCCCCCACCGATGTTATTCAACCGAGTGTGATTCCGTGCAAACGGGAGGGCCGAGATGTTCGAGACACCCGGTACGTATTTACTTTTTGGTACAGAACCAAAATGCTGTTCGACGAGCACCTGTACTCGTCCACGGTAACCTGTCAAACTGGAAGGGCAAAAAAAGGGCCACCTAACAAAAGGGGCCCTCTCCTCCGTCGCCGGATTTTTCTTTACCTGTTTCCCACCTTCTCTTGGATGAGTCTCCGATTTTTACGTACCTGGCTACGTGAAATCGGCGAACATCGAGTCTTTTCGATCTTGTCTTCAACAATGTTCACAAATTCGAGGAACAGCTTAAGATAGTTTTTTGATTCGATCGATATCGAATCGTGTTCTGTCTGTCGAGACAGAAA